TTTTTTTTTTTTTTTTTTTTTTTTTAGAGAGAGTGGAAGGGAGAGAGGGGGAAAGAAGGAGAGAGAGATGGAAACAGATTTGAGAGAGACACATGGATTGGTTGCCTCCTGCATGTGCCCCAACCAGGGCCGGGGACTGAATCTGCAACACAGGTTCTACCCTTGACTAGAATCAAACCCACGACCCTTCAGTGCACAGGCTAACACTCTAACCACTGATCCACACAGGTTAGGGCTCAAGTACTTTTTACTTGCTACTGATCTTGACTGCTTTATTGAAAAACTAAAGTTACATGAAACAAACGCATGAAAACTGAGCTATATCCAACTAGTGGCCATATACAACTATAGCAAGATATTTGGCTGCCTCAACCCATAATCAGGCTTAACACCTAGATCTGTAGTCAAAGTGACTTCAGGGTTCTTAGAACTATCTTAGTATCTGCTTTGGCCTGAAGCTGACATTGGAGCGTCTCTAGGCTGATGACAGATCTGAGTTGGCATTTCCAGAGACAAGTAGGGTCCTCTGGCCCACTTGGCTGTTTCCTCCAGTCTCCCCAGAAAGGTCTAGGTGTCTAAGGAGCCAACCAAAGGGCCCAGTTGGCCTTCCCACCCTAATCCTGTGACTATATACGATGGAAGTATTGGAGAGGAAGAGGAATGTCAGCATCATTCTGGTTTTTCTGTCAACTCTGATTTAAAAACAGGGAAACACTAGTCCCCAATTACTATGGATTTGCCTTCGATGTTAAAAAATAGTGGCCATGATAGTTTCATAAAAAAAAATTTTATGATATAAAATAACTACCCTTACTTTATTCTCCCTTCCTTTACTTTATTCTGCCTTAACCAGGTTACCAAGAAGTTTTCTATATTGTGGATGATAGAAAACTATGATGATTTCCAATCCTTCTATTTTATAGGAATTAATGAACATTCATTAATGTTCAAAGACAATTAAATTACTGGTGAGGATTTCCTGCAGAAGTACAGAAATCTTAGAAGTCAACTTCCACCCTCCATACTACATTCCAATATTGGAAATTAGCTGAATGATTCTTAATAATTTTGTGCAATTTCAAATTCTTAGACCCCTAAGAATTTGAGGGCTCTGAAACTGCCTCCTAATCTAGCATAACCACACAGAAGACTGATAACCTTCAAAATAAGTTGTAAGATAAGAATTTTAATTTGGTACATTTAATGGACAAAGTCCTTATGAGTAGGCAAATCTGCAAATGAAGATTTTTTTTTCAGCTTTAGTTTTAGGTCCCTCCTCTCTCCCTTTCACTCTAAGATTTTTAAAATTGATTTCAGAGAGAGAGGAAGAGAAACGGAGAGAGAAACATCAATGTGAGTGAAATATCAATCACCTGCCTCCTGCATGCCCCCTACCAGGGATTGGGGATCGAGCCTGCAACCCGGGTATGTGCCCTCACCAGGAATCGAATCTGCAACCTTTCAGTGCACGGGACATCGTCCAACCAACTGAGCCACACCAGCCAGGGCCACTATATCTCTCTTCAATGAACTTTGCACAAAGTTATATTAATAAGCTCAATGTATTAGAGCACCTGAGAAAAAGAGTATTTTTTCAGATACACAAAAAAAGCACAGTGATATCTGTCTTCTTCGTAAATTAATGACAAAGCCATAATAGCTAATAAGGTTATTTTAACAGGTGTCAAAGAGAAATGCTTATCTTCTACCTACAATCTTACATTGATTAAAAGTCTTCTATGAACAGAAAGCTATAACTGTCTCTCTTCAAGTATGTCTGTATCACCTAAGTATTGATCAGTTTTGGGCAACTCATTCATAGCTGCCTGTCTTTGCTGAGTGGTCTTCACAAATCTGAGCAGATTGACGATGGCAGCAGGTGTCACTCCAGGTATACGACTAGCAGCCCCAATCTATAAATTAAAACCACAAGAAAACCATAAAGTGAGCTATGTCAAATAAAATTTTCGTCCCAGTAACAATTTGTATATTACAGTTTATAAAATATTTTCAAAACTATTAATGTTTTCAAAATAACTCTATAAAGGAAATGTGATTATTATTAATATCTTCGTTTTTTAAAAAAATGGGACAATTGAGGCTTAAAGAAATTAAAATGACTTGTCCAAGATCACACAACTAACAGATGTTAGAATTCCTACTTTTTCTTTTCATTAAACTAATGTAACACCCCCAGCAGTGTGTTAGGCAGCACCCTATAATTAATCTCAATATTTCTGTTATATTTTTACAATGAAATACATGAATATTAACTCTAAGTGCTGCAAACACTAAATAGCCTCATGCCAGTTCAGGTAACTTTTGCCACCAAATAAGTCTGCAGCAAACATTTATCAGAGCTTTATGTTTTTTAGAACTGTGGATAAGGGATTGTGAGCTTGATTATCAGTGCTGTCCAACTGAATTTCTGGGATAATGGAAATTTTCTATAACATTTGCACTGTTACAATGCACTGCCCAACATGGTAGCCACTAGCCATATGTATCTACTGAGCACCTCAAATGTGGCTAGTATGACTGAAGAGTTGAATTTTAATTTTTAAAAAATTTTAATTAATGTAAATGGTCTATTTGGCTAGTGGTTATCATCCTGGGCAGTGCAGCCTATGACTATCCATAAAAATATAACTAAAAAACAAACAGTATATACAGAGGTATAAAATTTAAGGCTTGTTTGCCTAGTTTCCATGATGACCACTGCGAAAAACACCATATTATATTGACTGAATCACTCCTCCCTTTGAAAATCATTAAAAAAATTTTTTACAGACCATATTTTTGTTAAATGTTCCTTTTTTGTTATGAACCACTACTAAAAACAACAATAAAACCCCACTGCTCATTAAACTATGAGACACCACCAATTTTTAAGATACAACTCAGTTCAGAGATGTTAAAATGTACATCTTAGAATCAATAAATCCAGCCTATCAGACTTTAAATATTTATTAGAAGTTCAGTACTATGCACTCTAAAGGTTTTTATAGATGTTTACAGATGTGTGCGTGTGTGTGCGTGAGCATGTGCATGCGTGCGCGCGCGCGCACACACACACACTCAGGCTAAAGCATGGGGCGGGGAACCTCTTTGGTTCCCCTCTTTCTCCTAGAAGCTCCCAAGGCCACACTATGGAACCCCTAGAGAGGGATCCGAGTAGTGACTTGAAAATCACTGAATTATTATCAACCGAATTCTTGACTTCTAGTTATTTAAACAGTTTTTCCACCTCTCATAAAAATATATTGACATCTGTTACAGAAAGAGATATTGAAAATAAGAGGTTAAGTTTATGATGAAATAAACCATTAGTTATGTGGCCATGGTAACTCCAGGTTTAAAGAAATTAAAGCACTGGGTCTTAATTTACGACCTGTTCCTATCCATTGCCTGTTTTCTTACCGTCTGTGGGCGACTTAAATGTAGCTTCTCTCGAACTTCATAGGACAAAGACACATCCCTGAGAGTCAAATAATCTAGGTCTTTTGGCAGTTGGAGAGCTTCATCTCGCTGAATGTTCTTTATTTCTTGTTGCTGATAGAGCAATACTAATTCATAAGTGGCTGGTGAACAAAATTAATTATGTTATGATACTCAGGTTATATTAATAAGTTACATTTTTATAGCTTTTTACAATCTATAAAGAGCTTTTGCTACATTATCTCATTCAGCACTTATCTCAACACCATGAGGTAGGTGGAGTACGTGTTCCCTTTTGCAGAGGAGGAAATTAAAGCTAAAACAGAGGGAGTATCTTACATATTAACTACAACATTGTCTGGTAGTTTACTGCATGCCCTTTTCATTTCAGAAATTTGGAAAATTAAGAGAAACTGAGTTTCTTTGCAGTGCAAATTTTGGTGGAACATCTCCCTCAGTAGGCTATAGTTTTGAATTTTAAGTGCTAAAGGCCAGATGTTTCTTTAAGAAAACGGTTCTGAATTATGAACATATAAAACTATAATTTTTAAAAAGTTTAAAGCTTCTTAGATGATAACTCATAATATAAGTAATTTAACTAAGGTTTTATTCAGAAGTAAAATTAGAAAGATAATTCAAAACCATTATTTTGTAATTAAAGCACTCTGTTCTTAGAAATATAAATTCAAAACCTATTTTAAAATGTAAATTGAGGTAGTCATTCTGTCCTGTTCAAGAAAGCAAATCTTCCCTAAGGATTTTGGTAGCACCTGTTTCCATCACTTGACTGGCAGCCAGAAAAATCTCAGCTCTGAGTTTGGCTCTACCGATCAATTACTTTCTAACTATGGGCACATAACCATCTTTCTGGGTCTCAGGTACTTTATTTAGAAAATTTAAAGGCTGACCTAGATGACTTCTGATGGTCTTTATAAAAACATAGGGTATTTGTGAAATGCACAGGCCTTATGGTCAGACAAGCTAGGTTCAAATCCCAGCTCTGCCACTCACCAGTTTTGTTCTTGGGCAAGTTACCATTTATCCGTAAAATTAAGGTAATAATGCTAATACGTATCCTTCACAGGACAGTTGTAAGTATCAAATGAAATAATGCTTGTAAAGGGCTTAATACAACATGGTAATATAATAATTTAGTATGACAAATGGTAATACAGCTTTATGACTCATGAATAGACTCGGCAAGGGATCATGGAATATAAATGAGATACTATATGTTACAATGCACTTATTTAATCTTTCAAGTATGTATGTAGCAAAACATGAGAGATAATACAAAGAATCTGAAATTGATTTCTGCCCTCAAGAAGCTTGTCACCTAGTGGAGGATCTGTGAAGTAATTTGAAAACCACTGATATGTTATAGGTTATATTTTAATCCAGTATGGGGTTTTTTAAATTTTTTTTTTTTAATCCTCACCCACGGATATTTTTTCCATTGCTTTTCAGAGAGAGAGAAACATTAATGTTAGAGGGACACATTGACTGGTTGCCTCCCACACACCCCGACAGGGTTGGGGATAGAGCCTGCAACAGAGGTATGTGCTCTTCGCCAGAACTGAACCCAGGACCCTTCAGTCCAAGGGTCAAAGCGCTAACTACTGAGCCAAACTGGCCAGCGCTCTAGTGTGGTTTCTTTTAAGCCATGTATATAAATTAGAGTCTTTATGTACAAACAAGTTACAGATAATTATTCTGGATTATTCTAACCTGAACCTGGTGATTTATTGGACAAATTAAATTGCAAACTAAGTTTAAAATATAGAATTTAATCACCTTTTTCCAGTGCTAAGAGCCTCAATGTTCAATACAGTAATTTTCATTTAACAGAGAAACCGTGATATTGAAACAAAAGGTCAATATTACTTTTTATACATTAGTATACTACTAGTGTCTAGTCATTTAAAAGAATGATTCTACAGTTTAGATGGGTTTCCTTTTTTTTGCTAGACTCCTGTTAACTTGCATGGTGGGATGGCAGGCAGCACTTGGTTCATCCTATAAATGTAGCTAAAGCATAGCATGGTGGTAGACCTCTCTGGAACTGATAGAAAATGCCACTGCTAGAAGGAATGTGGCATTCTTACCACCTTCGCTGGGCCCCAAGGAGCTTAAAGTCCTTTCCTTATTTGGACAGCGCATCATCATCCAACTTTTCCTACTGTTCTCCCCATCTCATTCTGTTCCCTTTTTCTCCACATAATTTTCCACCCCAGGAAAAAACATCCTCTACCTTATTATCAGTATTTTTATGTTTGAAATGTTTCATAATGAAAACCTTTTAAAAAGTCATCTGTGACTTTGATGGTCAATACACTGATCTACAGTATGGATTTCTTTGCCTGATACAAAATAAGTACCTGTTAATGGTAGACTATTCAAGTATATTGTCGAAGCCAAACACAGTATAACTTTTCTCATTATTAGAACATTATGCACTCCTATGTTCATAGCAGCACTATTTACAATTGCTAAGATCTGGAAACAGCTCAAGTACCCATCAGTAGATGAGTGGATAAAAAAGCTGTGGGACATTTACACCATGGAATACTATGCAGCTATAAAAAAGAAGGATCTCGTACCCATTAGGACAGCATGGTGGACCTGGAGAATATTATGCTAAGCAAAATAAGCCAGTCAGAGAAAGACAAATATTACATGGTATCACTTATATGTGGAATCTAAAGAACAAAATAAATAAACAAACAAGATAGGGTCACAGACATGGAAGCATGACACAGACTGACAGATCTCAGAGGAAAGGCAGGAAGGAGGGTGGGAAGAGATTAACCAAAGAACTTATAAGCATATATGAACAGTCCATGGGCACAGACAATAGACAGGTGAAAGCCTGGGGTAGGGT